ATTTATACCCCGCCCTTCTCTACCCAAGGGAGTCTCAGAGCGGCCTACAAACTCCTTTCCCTTCCCCTCCCCGCAACAGACACCCTGTGAGGTAGGTGGGGCTGAGAGAACTCTCAAACAGCCCTTGAGAGAACTGCTCTGAGAGAACTCGTGAGTGACCCAAGGTCACACCAGCAGCTGCATGTGGAGGAGTGGGGAATCAGACCCGGTTGTCCCCGATTAGAGTCCGCGCTCCTAACCACTACACCAAACTGGCTCTTGGAGGGTTGGGCAGGGTAGGAAAAAGTCTCCACTGATGAGAGAATTTTTTATAGAAAATTACAGGGGGTTGGGGTGACCCCATACGTCTCCAACCCATGCTGAGGTTCCGAAAAAACCCCTGGACACATACGACCCAATCAGTTAAACAGAATTGCTATTCATAGTATTACTATTCATGGTTTTGTTTCTGATTCTTATCCCTACTATTGGATTATAACTCAGTATTAATGGTTTAGTTCTGTGGGGTTTTCTTATTGATAGTTGCTGTTTTAGTATGAACGTTGGTCGTTTGAATACAAGGATATGTCTTAAAAATTAAACTAATTTTAGCGAAGCTTCAGGGAAACGTTGCTTTCACGTTTTGCAAAGCGCTTCTGCCGAGTGGCAACAAAAACCTAACCCAAAGCCCATTTGTTTTCTCTTGTATTTAAGATGTCAGAGTATATTTTAAAGTTAACTCAGTAACGCGGTGTTTCTGATTCCAAAAGGAGAAAACACGTGAACAGAAGGAAGCAGATTTGATTCCCAAAATCCAAGAAGCTGTGAATTATGGGCTGCAGGTGTTGGACAGCGCCTTTGAACAGCTGGACATCAAAGCCGGGAACTCGGACTCTGAAGAAGAAACAAACGAAAAAATGGAATTGATCCTGGAACCGAAGGTAATGGCGGCTCACCTCCCACAGAGCAGTTCTGCCCTCTCACCTGTTCTGAAGGAAGTCAGCTGTGAGTAAAACACATCAGTACGTGATCCCTGCTGTTCAGTCAGGTAGCGAAAGGATGAATTTCATTTTGCCCACGCCACAGCCTGGCATTCCGGCTGCCGGGAGGAGGGGAAGCTTCAGGTTAAGGGCTGAAAGAGATAAGGCAGAGTTAAAAAGATGGAGCAGTGAAAACTGCTTGTCATGACCCCCAGAAGGGTCTTTCGGTTTCGCCGCCACCACAATGGACTTTCGGGTCCCTCGGGAGTCCCAGGGTAGCTCCCAAGCCCTCGCTAACCGAGTGTTGCAGGCGTGAATGGCCCAGGCGGACACCAACCAAATCACACAGAACAGGGTTTATTAGGACAATTGGGCAAGGTGCGTCAACTGGATAACAGGGGGAAAGGTCAAATGAAAATAAACTAACGCAACTGCCTTCCTTGGCTTTTCCTATCAGGCCCCAGCCTGCCTAACTCACTCAAGCTCCTCCTTCTCCCAGTCCGGCCTGTCTCTCACGAGACCCAGCCGCAGGGAGGCAAAGGACTGAGGGCTTCTCCCCTCCTCGCTCAGAGACTCCAGCTACCATCAACCAGCAGCCCGCAACTGCCTTCAACTGTCTTCCCCCAGACTTTGTTCCCAACAGATTCAAACGGTCTCCCTTAGAATCTTTCCTGACTCTCCCAATGCCTTCTGGGAGTTGTAGGCCTAGCCGCCTCCTACTGCCGCCCAGGCCTCTTAGGCTGGCTAGGCCCTACTGGCACAGGCCAGATCATGACACTGCTGGATAAGATTCAGGCCCAGGTTGCCCAAATGCGTGGCTCTTTAGTTGTTTGCCTTCTCTGTTTAGCCTCTGCTTCCTGGGCTGGTGGGGTAGGGAACCCCTCGTCATAGTGCTTGAGGTGCCAGCGGTTTAGGAGCGGGCGCCAAAACAGAACCTAGTTTCATTCCGTATCCTAAACCTTCATCACCAGGCATACCAAACACGTAAGATCCCCCCCAAATCAAACGGGGTGACTGGTGAGCATCGGGATGGGGGGACTGAGCCATTCTAGCCTGCCTCCCCTGCCCTTGAAGACCTCATGGGTTGTCCCAGCAGCACTCTGACCGCAAGGGGGGGTGTCCCTGTTGCACAGTGTTTGGAGATGGCGTGGTGCTCTGCATCCCTTAACTGTCGGAGTGAGCTCTACTAGAAACGGGCAAGGGAGCCCGTGTTACACAGGGCTGTGCAAACACGGTTGTGTGCTAGGCCAGAAGCACTTTCAGGTAAGATTGAGATGTTCTTCTTGGGATAGTACCAGGTGAGACGCAACTAGAGGTGATTCTTTTCACCACCGGCCGTCATCTCAAGAATACCTGTGTGTGTTCTGTTCCGTCAAGCGACTTCTGAATGATGGGGACTCTACGAATGAATGACCCTGGGAAAGAGAAGGCTTCGAGGGGACACGATTGCAGTCTTCAAGCATTTGAAGGGCTGTCATGTAGAGGATGGAGCAGATCTATTCTCTCTTGCTCCGGATTGCAAGACTAGGGCTAATGGGTGGAAATTACAAGGGAGTTGTTATCGGCTCAATATCAGGAGAAACTTCATAAGTGTAAGAGTGGTTGAGCAGTGGAACAGTCTGCCTCGGGAGGTGGCGGATGCTCCTTCGCTGGACGTTTTCAAGCGTAGGCTGGACGACGACCATCTTTTGGGTATGCTGTAGGGCTGCCTTTCGGCTGTGCTCCTAGATGACCTTTAATGTCCCTTCCAACTGTAACATTTTATGATTCTATGACCCCTCCCCCCCAAATCCTATCATTAACAGCCTTGCTTAGGTCTTGCGGACTAAGGGCTTTTGTGGCTTTCTTGATCAAGTCCATCCATCGCATTTTGGGAATTTCCTCTTCCCCTGCCGCCTTTAGCTTTTCCTAGCATTCTGGTCTTTTCCAGTGACTCTTGTCTTCTCATAATGTGACTAAAGTACAGTAGCCTTGTTGTTCAGTCGCACAGTCGAGTCTGACTCTTTGCGACCCCATGGACCAGATCATGCCAGGCCCTCCTGTCTTCCGCCGTCCTCTGAAGTTGGCTCAACTTCATGTCCGTTGCATCTATGACACTGTCTAACCATCTCATCCTTTGCCGTCCCCGTCTTCTTTGACCTTCAGTCTCTCCCAGCATCAGGGTCTTCTTCTCCAGGGAGTGCTCCCTTCTCATTGGGCGGCCAAAGTATTTGAGCTTCAGTTTCATTATCTGACCTTCCAGGGAACAAGGTTGATTTCTTTTAGGATTGACTGATTTGATCTTCTTGCAGTCCAAGGAACTCTCAAAAGTCTTCTCCAGCACCATAGTTCAAAAGAATCTATTCTTCGGCGCTCGGCCTTCCTTATAGTCCAACTCTCGCAGCCATACATGACTACTGGGAATACCATTGCTTTGAGTATGCGGACTTTTGTTGGCAAGGGTGATGTCTCTACTTTTTATCATGCTGTTTAGGTTCGCCATCGCTTTCCTCCCAAGGAGCAGGCGTCTTTTAATCGCATGGCTGCTGTCACAGTCTGCGGTGATCTGGGATCCCAGGAATGTGAAGTCTGTCACTTAACTAAGCAGCCTTAGTTAAGTCATTTTAGCTCCTAGGGAGAGTTCAATTATGATTCGATCTGTTTGTGTTAAAAGTCATCAAGTCACTTTCGACTTACGGTGACACTATGAATTAATGACCTCCAAAATGTCCTTTGCAAACTTGAGGGTCGTGGCTTCCTTGACGGAGTCCATCCGTCTCATGTTGGGTCTTCCATCTTTCCCTGCTGCCTTCAACGTTTCCTGGCGTTACTGTCTTTTCCGATGAGTCCGCCTGCAGACTTCTGTATCCTGTGCTACCTTAGCACATGTGCGTTAGTTGGGCTCTTTTTGTAGCAGGTACTCCTTTGCATATTAGGCGACACCCCCCCTAATGTAGCCAATCCAAGAGCTTATAGTAGCCCCTGTAAGAAGAGCTCTGTAAGCTCTTGGAGGATTGGCTACATTAAGGGGGGGTGTTGCCTAATATGCAAAGGAGTTCCTGCTACAAAAAGAGCCCTGGGTGACATGCCCCTAATGTAGCCAATCCTCCAAGAGCTTACAGTAGCTCCTGTAAGAAGACCTCTGTAAGCTCTTGGAGGATTGGCTACATTAGGGGGTGTGTGGCCTAATATGCAAAGGAGTTCCTGCTACAAAAAGAGCCCTGGCTTTTCATTGGTGGTGGGGACAAGTTGAAAAATGAAAAACCAAAGTCTGTGGTGAAGAAAACTGTCAGGAAGTTCTTCCTGATGTTCAGCTGAAAACTCTTTTGATTTAATTTCAATCCATTGGTTCCGGTCCGACCTCTTGGGGCAACACAAAACAGCTCCGCTCCGTATAGGCTCATCTAGGGACTGAACTGAAGACTCCAGTACTTCGTACGGAAACCCACGCCACTGCTTAATGTAATCCTTTCCTCACTGGAAATACTTCAATTTTCTCGTCACGCCGGCCTTGCACATGGGAGACAACATACTACTGTATGTGCTGTGTGTGGCATTTGTGCTTAAACTTGACCACAAGCGCTGGAGCGATCCAGTCCCTGGGTGCCGGGAGCTGTACGGATGCTGGAACTTCTGTCAAAATACAGCGGAGATAGAATTTCTAGCAACAAAACATTTGTCATTCCTATGTGTAACGGTGGTTTGGAAAAGGGGGCACTTGGCGTACCACGCTAAAGACAGCCTCTGGACCAAAGTTCCCTCTAAGCTGTGGAGTCTGGTGAGCAAAGATTCTGTTTGCTGAGCTACCGGCGTCAAAGCTGTGAGTGAGCGATTTGGCTACTGCATAAATCAATTTGCTCTGGAGCAGTGTTCCCTCTAAGCTGAGTTAGTGTGAGCTAGCTCACCATTTTTTAGCCCCCAGCTCACACGTTTTTGTCTCAGCTCAGGAAGGAGGGCTCCAGAGCAAACTAATTTATGTAGTAGCCAAATCGCTGGTTCACAATTTTAATGCCAGTAGCTCACAAAGTAGAATTTTTGCTCACAAGACTCCACGGCTTAGAGGGAACATTGCTCTGGAGCCATCCTTCCTGAGCTAAGGCAAAAATGTGTGAGCCGGAGGCTAAAAAACGGGTGAGCTCGCTCACACTGACTCAGCTTAGAGGGATCAGTGCTCTGGACGCTTGTAGAGTTTGTGTAGTAAACATGCATGAGGCTTGTTTGAATTGCTCTTTCTCTGTCTCCTTTTTGAATCAAAAGGTTCGGTAGATAGCGACCGTGGGAGCATGGTTGACAGCGAAGGGAAAGACGAAGAGGTAAGGCGTGGCTTTACACATTTGTTCTTGTTTACGTCCCACCCCCTGTAGAGTCTCTGGGGAAGCTATGGAGGTTTGGAGGCTACGGACTCCCATCTGGGAGGTGGGTCTCCGGTAGCCAAAGATAGAGGGTTGTCCAAGTGCAGATTCTGTTCTGGAAGCTGCTTCTTGTCTTTCAGGAATTGGAAGAAGAATTTGGGAATGTAAGCGAGGATGACCGGAAACCGGTAAGAGTGATACTCCGACTGTTTTAGCCTATCCAAAACTGGCTACTTCTCCATGCAATTCTGTGAACTAGGTTTAGCCTGGGATTACTGTGCATCGGTTTCGGCTGTATGTCTCCTTTGCTTGGGCTGTATCTTGGGGTTTTAACACGGGTCATCTGGGCCGTATACAGCTGCCTTTTACGGAATCAGTCCATCATGGGCAGTATTGTGTGCTCACACTGGCAGCTGCTTTCCAGCATCTCAGAGGAAGGTCTTGGTGTTTGTTAAATGGAGTTGCCGGGGATTGAACCTGGGGCCTTCTTCATGCCAAGCAAAGACTCTTATCACGGTCTCTCTGCAGGACCTAATAATCTCATTATTTTCTTTAAAACCTGCCTCCTTCTATCTTTTGAACTTCAAGATAATTCATTTCAAAACTGATATCAGTCCTAGGTTAAAGCTGGCCTTGTACTTATATTTTATTTCTAAAAAGTCCCTGTAATGATTTCATGTTTATTTGTGTGTGTGTATGTGTCTTTAAAAGTTTGGTTGCATGGCAGTGAGAGATAGTCTAGGGTGGTTGAAACAGGCAAGTGGTGTGATTGGTGATTGGTAGAAAGGGGGAGGGGTTTTAGAAAATGTGTGTCAGTCAAGAGTTACAGTTTAGACAATTGATAAAGACAGTTAGGGAGTTAGTTAAATTCTGAGTTCTGTGAGAGAAGCAGGAGTTCAGTTAAGCTCTGTGTATGAAAGAAGTGAGAAGCTGTTCTGTGTGAAAACAGTTAAGCTGTCTGTTAATGTTGTTCAGAGAAGAAGAAAAGTTATAAGAATGTCTGAGTGACAGACTGGAGAAACAGTGAACTTACATGACCTTGAGTTAGTGTTACAAAGTTACATGCCAAGATCCCTGACAGTGGAGAGAAAAGTGTATGAAATACCCAAAGCACTTGTTCAGTATTTACCCATTCCTAGATACAGAGTCATATCCTGTTATTTACGAATTACTTCAATAAATCTTCTTTTATTTAAGTCTGCCATCTCTGAAAGGAATAATTTCTCAGGAAACACATAGACCCTCATGAAAGCCTAAACCATCGACCTACCTACCCAGTGATAGAAATATTATAGAAAAAGGTTTGGAAAGCCTTAAATTTCCTGGTGGCAGCCGTGTACCCAGTTGAACAAAACATAAAGAACACGTTTAAAGTAAAACCAGACCTCCCCAGTTAAGGGGTCGTCACAGTCCCTGTCTTCTTTTTTTAAAGAAGAGTCTACCTTTGTTGTTGATTGGCATCAAGGGATTGGGAATAAAATGGATGATGCTGTAAGGTCCCTGGATAGATCTATGGTGTGGCCTCATTTGGAATGCTGTGTACAGTTCTGGTCACCGTCTCTCAAAAGGGACATTGCAGAGCTGGGAAAAATACAGAGGAGGGCGACCAGGATGATGAGGGGATCGGAGCGCCTTCCCCAAGATGAAAGGCTGAAGAGTCTGGGACTTTTCATTTTAGAAAAAAGTCGACGTAAGGGGGGACACGATAGAGGTTTACAAAATTACGCATGAGGTGGGTGGAGAGAGCTGACAAAGGAAATTTTTTCTCCCTCTCCCAAAATACTAAAACTCGAGGGCATTCAGTGAAGCTGATGGGCAGTAGGTTCAGGACGGACAAAAAATTACTTTACACAGAGCATGATTAAAATGTGGAATTCGCTGCCAAAGGGTGTAGTAAGAGCCACAGGAATAAACAGCTTTCAAAGGGGATTAGACAGAGTGATGGAGGGTAAGTCTAGCAATGGCCACTAGCCGTGGTGGCGGAGGGGAACCTCCATATTCAGAGGCACTAATCCTCTGAATCCCAGACCCAGGGGGCAACCTCAGTGGAAAGCCTCGGCCTCTCTGCCCTGTTGTTGGCCCTCTAGAGGGACTGGCTGGCCCCTGTGTGAGACAGGATGCTGGACGGAATGGACCACTGCTCTGATCCAGCAGAGATCTTATGATGTTCTTGTTTGGCCATTGTCATAATCTCACAGACCCTCGTTGAACATTTTTCTGTAGACAGTCCTCTGTTTCACTGTATGTTTCAGATTTCATTTTCCTGAAATAATGATCCTAAGGTACCAAGATATTTAGTAGTAACTTCGAAATATAATCCAAAAATTCAAGGAAATGCCAGTAATCATATACTTTCCAATACACTTAGGACAACATTATTCCTAGTTCACTGAATAAACATTTCATTTCTAAATGAGGAAAGGGGAGGGTACTCTGTCTTTTGTGACTTTACAGCTGAGTCGGACGCGGCTGGGGGGGGGTGAGGAAGATGATGCTGGGTAGAGAGGGGGCCTGCCTCTGGTTAAGGACCGCGTGGCACAGCCTTACCTCTTGAGTCTCCCTGTACAAACTGTCTGTCTTCCCCCCCCTAGAGAACAGCACTGATGAGTGATGAAGATGATGACGATCTCTTTGGTGGTGATTCTGAAAAGGGGGAAGAGGATGAAGATGACGTGGAAGAAAACTCAAGGCCGGTAAGAACGTAAGAGAAGCCATGTTGGGACAGGCCAGTGGCCCATCCCGTCCAACACTCTGTGTCACACAGTGGCCAAAACCCAGGGGCCATCAGGAGGTCCACCAGTGGGGCCAGGGCACTAGAAGCCCTCCCACTGTTGCCCCCCCCCCAGCACCAAGAATACAGAGCATCAGTTGCCCCAGACCGAGTGTTCCCATAAGAACATAAGAGAAGCCAGTGTTGGATCAGGCCAATGGCCCATCCAGTCCAACACTCTCACACAGTGGCCAAAAAATACCAGGGGCCATCAGGAGGTCCACCAGTGGGGCTAGAACTCCAGAAGCCCTCCCACTGTTGCCCCCGAAGCACAAAGAATACAGAGCATCACTGCCCTGGACATAAAGAACATAAGAGAAGCCATGCTGGATCAGGCCAGTGGCCCATCCAGTCCTACACTCCATGTCACACAGTGGCCAAAACCAGGTGCCATCGGGAGGTCCACCAGTGGGGCCAGTTTAACTTCAGAAGCCCTCCCACTGGTGCCCCCCCCCAAGCACCAAGAATATAGAGCATCAATGCCCCAAACAGAGTATTCCATCTGTACCTTGTGGCTAATATGTTTATCCAGTCCTCTCTTGAAGCTGTCCATGATTTTAGCCCCCACCACTTCCTGCAGCAGTGAATTCCATGTGTTAATTACTCTTTGGGTGAGAAAGGACTTCCTTTCGTCTGGTAAGGAATTGTGGCTTGACACGACCGATGGCTTCATGCGGGTAAACCAAAGCAAAGTTCTGTTGCCGTTTCAGTTCTTCCAGGCCAAGATGGATAGGGCAGCACTTCCCAGAGTCCTTGGAATGAGGGCTTTCTGATGCCTTTTGGTTGGCTCACAGCAGCCCCAATTTTCGCACGTCTGCAGCTGGCCTCGGCAAAATGTTACGGCCTCTGCAGGTGTACTGAGCAAGATGTGCTGGATCCTGATTTGTTGCGTCAACCAATGGAAAGTTTTAAAAACTTATTCATTATCTCATGGCATTGTGTAGCATAGCCTGGAGATCCAAAGATTGTCTGGCAGCCAGAAGTTCTAGCTCTTTTAGCATTATGCACCACTAGGTGGTGAGCTAGACTCGTTTTCTGCAACATAACGCTTCTTTCCAGCTCCTAGCAGTTAACATTCTAGCTGCTGACAATAAACATGAGGCCGGATACCACAAGTTCTTAGGCAAGCTGTTCAGCATTAGAGCCGAAGAGACACATCGGTGGTGAAAGATGTACCTTTTCCCCTATGCTGTCTTTTACCCTTCCATGATCACGTTTCAATTATCTTTTATAATAACTGCATCCCTGCCACACGTGGAGAAAAGAACCGCGTTGTATTGGACCCACTTGGCTGCTCTCCTATCGGTGCTGTCTTAACAAGAACACAGGCTGATGACTCCCAACAGTGGTAGTCACATGGTTCTGGGAAGCCAATGAGAGCTGGGCCTGGAAGCAGCTGTGGCTCTCCCTCCTGGTCTCCACCAGCGGTCTCTTCCTTCCATAATTGAGCTGAGGAGTCATGTCATAGAAAAAGAGGTGCAGGAGCTCATTAGCATAACTCATTAGCAGAACTTATTTGCATAAGCCACACCCCCTGACATCACCGGAAGTGGGTCAGAAGGCAACACCCACCGCTCAGGCTCCACTGGACTGTTTTGGATTGCCAGTTATTGGGGGTGGGGGAACGTGCAGATCTGTCTTCGCAGAGGAGGGAGAGCTTGTACCTGAAGGTAGGCCGGGGGGGGGGGGGCCCGGGAAACCTGGTTGCTGCTTGCTCCTCATGGCCCGACTGAGAGCTGCTGGGAGCAGGGGGCGGGGCTTGTTGCATGTGCCCGCCCCCTGGGCTCCTTACTGCCGGAGCTCCACTCCTGTGTGCTCCCGCAGGAAATGACCCATGATTGAGCTGCTCTTTTGAGTGACTGATCATAGAGCTCTCCTCCCTGAACTTGTCCAACTGCTTTAACCGCAACATGGAGTCAGTGTGCCTTTGTCTCCCGTTATGACTGCTTTAGAAAAAGAAAAGGCCCACCTCCTTCACAGATCAGCTGACAGCTCGGATCAAAGGGGACCTGCCGTATCCGAGGAACGAGGAGCGATTGTGTAAGCTACTTTCATGGATCCTTTTCCCATCGGGGTGTGCGTCAATGTTCCCTCTAAGCTGTGGAGTCTTGTGAGCAAAAATTCTACTTTGTGAGCTACCGGCATTAAAGTTGTGAGTGAGCCATTTGGCTACTGCATAAATCAGTTTGCTCCGGAGCCCATCCTTCCTGAGCTAAGACAAAAAAATGTGTGAGCTGGAGGCTAAAAAACTCTGAGCTAGCTCACACTAACTCAGCTTAGAGGGAACAATGGTGTGTGTAACGATTTCATGTTTATGTGTGTGTGTGTTTAAAAGTTTGGTTGGCATGGCTGTGTGAGGATAATCTAGAGTGCTGGACTCAAGCAAGTGATATGATTGGTGAGTGACAAAGAGGGGTTTTTGGAATGGATGCTGTGTGGATGATTTGTATGTCTATCAGGAGTGACTGTTAAGAGTGATGACAGTTAAACAGGCAGTCAGCAGAGAGTGCTGTGTAAAAGCAGTTAATAGGAGTTTTGTTCCGTGTGATTTCTGTGAGAGAAGTAGAAGTCAGTTAAGTGCTGTCTCGGAGTTGAAGGAGACTCAGCCCTGTGTGTGAAAAGAGTGACATTTAGTTCTGTGTTATAGGAGTTAAAATTAAAAGCTGAGAGTCTAGGAAAAAGTACAGTGAAAAGTGTTACAAAGTTGCCTACGAAAAATCCCTGTCAGTAGAGAGAAGCTTGTGAGAGACACTAAGCCATTGTTCAAATCATTCCCAGTACTGTTTACATTGTTCACCCTCGTGTTTATACTTTCGTTAAATAAATCCTATTTACTTCAAGTATACCAGCAGTAAAGAATCCTTCCTCAGACCACATAGTACCACGAACGCCTAAAACCCTCGGCATACCTACCCTGTGAAAAATATTATAGAAAAAGGTTGGGAAAGCCTAAATTTTCCTGGTGGCAGCCAGAATACCCTACAGAGTAAAACTGAAAGAACATTTTAAAGTAAAACTAGACCTCCCCAAATAAGAGGTTGTCACAGTGTGCGTGTGTGTTATTTATGTCCCCTTATACTGAAATATTTCAAAAACTGTGTTGATAACAAAATGGTATAAAGCGGCCTTTTTTTACTTGCGCTTTTTGCAAATTTCAAGAAACATGGAGAGCTACTCCCAGAGAAGACGTTACGAACTCTGATTGTCCCTGCTGTCAGTTCGCAGAGCAGGAGAGGGAGAGATACTCCAAACGGCTCTTTCCCCAATTAATCCGTGCAAGCATGAAGAATGTGGTTTTCTACAGAGACATCAGGAAAAATCACATTCTCCCCCCCCCCCACGCTTCTATAAATTGTTTTTGTTGAAAGAGACCGTAACAGCCCTAAACACAAGCACTCAAAGTAAACGGCCTTCGCCCTGAGTGTATATGTGTACGTTTCCACTCGGCTTCTGTGAGAAGAAACTTGATTTAGCAGCTAAATGGTAGCTGGACTCCAGGCGACCTCACTGGTGATAGATGCCTGGGAACGAGATTCTTTGAGGCTCAACACAAGAGCCCTGAAGCCCCGGGGGAGGTTCTCTGTCCTTTGACTTGGGGTGGCCCGGTGGAATGCGGGCCCACACAGCTACCCACCTGAAACCCTCTTTTAAAAACCAAGCAGCCCTTCTATGTTGTTCCGATGGCTGTGTCTAAGATGCCTTCCCAAGTAACGGGCTTCCCAAGAGGAGAGGCTGATCAGATATCAAACTTTCCACTTTCAGCATCTGCCGATATAAAAAGCAAGAAGGCAGAGAAGGAGAAGGAAGGCGTTGGCGTTCCATCAGACGGTCAGTCTTTTTTAGCATTGTTTTTCTTGGGAGCATTCGGGGGCCGGGAATAAAAGGGAAGGAGAGACGAGTCTTCTGAACGATTCCTGTCCTCGTTGTGGTGAATCTTTCAACGGTTTCGGGGCTTCTGCCTCTTCTCCTTTTTGCTGCCGCACAAAGCTTGCTGTGGTTAGCATGGTCAGAGTCTCCCTTGCTTCTTTTTTTAGGTTTAAGTAGTTTCCTCCAAGGAAATGTGACTCCTGCTTTGTGTTCAGTGGTCCTTTTGCCTCCCATTGCCAAAGTGAGAACCTGCGGAGGAACTCCCCATGGATCAAATGTGGCAGTGCTTGTTCCAGATTTTGGGAGGCCCTGGGCTGACCGTTCCCAGGGCCCCCCTCCCTTCCCCTGTGCCACCCCCACACCATTCTCTCACGCCCTGCCCCTTTCCCATCCATCCGCATGCCTCCCTCTTGCCTGTGAGTCATAAGAACATCAGAAGTGCCCTGCTGGATCAGACCAATAGTCTGCCTAGTCCAGCATCTTGTCTCTCACAGTGGCCAGCCAGTTCCTCTGGAGGGCCGACAACAGGGCACAGACGCTGAGCCCGTCATAAGAACATCAGAACAGCCATGCTGGATCTGACCAATAGTCCATCTAGTCCAGTATCCTGCCTCACACAGTGGCCAACCAGTTCCTCTGGAGGGCCGACAACAGGGCACAGACGCTGAGCCCGTCATAAGAACATCAGAACAGCCATGCTGGATCTGACCAATAGTCCATCTAGTCCAGCATCCCGTCTCTCACAGCGGCCAACCAGTTCATCTGGAGGGCCAACAACAGGGCATATAGACTGAGGCCTTCATAAGAACATCAGAAGAGCTCTGCTGGATCAGCCCAGTGGTCCATTTAGTCCAGCATCCTGTCTCACACAGTGGCCAGCCAGTTTCTCTGGAGGGCCAATAGCAGGGCATAGAGGCCGAGGCGTTCTTAAGAACATCAGAAGAGCCCTGCTGGGTCAGACCAGTGGTCCATCTAGTCCAGCATCCTGTCTCTCACAGTGGCCAACCAGTTCCTCTGGAGGGCCAACAACAGGGCGGAGAGACCAAAGCTTATCCCTGATGAGAACATCAGAAGGGTCCTGCTGGATTGGACCAGTGGACCATCTAGTCCAGCACCCTGTCTCACACAGTGGCCAACCAGTTCCTCTGGAGGGCCAACAATAGGGCACAGACGCTGAGCCCATCATAAGAACATCAGAACAACTATGCTGGATCTGACCAATAGTCCATCTAGTCCAGCATCCCGTCTCAATACAGTGGCCAACCAGTTCCTCTGGACGGCCAACAACAGTGCACAGACGCTGAGCCCATCATAAGAACATCAGAACAGCCATGCTGGATCTGACCAATAGTCCATCTAGTCCAGCATCCTGTCTCACACAGTGGCCAGCCAGTTCCTCTGGAGGGCCAACAACAGGGCACAGAGTTCGAGGCCTTCCCCTGAGGTTGCCTCCTGGCACTGGGATTCAGAGGATTAGTGCCTCTGAATGTGGAGGTTCCCTTTAGCCACCATGGCTAGTAGCCACTGCTAAATTGTCCTCCATGAATCGATTTAATCCCCTTTTAAAGCTGTTTATTCCTGTGGCCGTCACCACATCCTCTGGCAGCGAATTCCACATTTTAAACATTCCCTATGTAAAGTAGTATTTCCTTTTGTCCGTCCTGAGCCTACTGCCCATCAGCTTCACTGGATGCCCTCAAGTTCTTCGTATTCAAAGAGTGGGAGAAAAGTTTCTCTCTGTCAGCTCTCTGGCCTGTGTGTCCTTCCCTGCCCGCTTGTGAGCCCTCCCACCGTCAACACTCGCAGGCTCCTGCGCTGCCGGCAGCCCTTTTCCCCAGTGGCACTAGCAACGCTGGCATCTGGGAGCGTGATGGTAGAACACGGGCAAGTGAGTGTGTGTGTGAGAGAGACAATAGTAGGCCCTGCCTGACGCCCCTGGGCCCTGGCAGCTGCCTCTCCTTGGTGTACGCTGAGGCTGGCCCTGTGTCATGGCATGTGAGCCTCGCGTCCTGAGACAGTTTGGTGTGGTGGTTAAGTGCCCGGACTCTAATCTGGGGGAACCGGGTTTGATTCCCCACTCCTCCACTCGCACCTGGCTGGATAGCCTTGGGCAAGCCCTAGTTCTGATAAGACCAGTTCTTGAAAAAAGAGCAGTTCCTGTCAGAGCTCTCAGCCCCACCCGCCTCACAGGGTGTCTGTTGTAGGGAGGGGAAAGGAAAGGAGTCTGTCAGTAGCTCTGAGACTCCCTTGGGTAGTGAAGGGCGGGGTATAAATCCAATCTCTTCTTCTTCTTCTCCTCCTCCTCCTCCTCCTCCTCCTCATCCTACTCCTCCTACTCCTCCTACTCCTCCTCCTCGACTCTGATTCCCCACTCCTCCACTTGTACCTGGTTGGATGACCTTGGGAAAGCCGTAGTTCTGATAAGAGCTGTTCTTGAAAAAGAGAAGTTTCTGTCAGAGCTCTCTCAGCCCCGCCTACCTCACAGGGTGTCTGTCTGTTGTGGGGAGGGGAAGGGAAAGGAGTTTGTAAGCCGCTCTGAGACACCTTTGGGTAGGGAAGGGTGGGGTATACACCCAATCACTTCTTCTTCTTCTTAAGTGCACGGACTCTAATCTGGGAGAACCGGGTTTGATTCCCCACTCCTCCACTTGCACCTGGCTGGATGACCTTGGGCAAACCCTAGTTCTGATAAGAGCTGTCTTTGAAAAAGAGCAGTTTCTGTCAGAGCTCTCTCAGCCCCGCCTACCTCACAGGGTGTCTGTCTGTTGTGGGGAGGGGAAGGGAAAGGAGTTTGTAAGCCGCTCTGAGACACCTTTGGGTAGGGAAGGGTGGGGTATACATCCAATCGCTTCTTCTTCTTAAGTGCACGGACTCTAATCTGGGAGAACCGGGTTTGATTCCCCACTCCTCCACTTGCACCTGGCTGGATGACCTTGGGTAAACCCTAGTTCTGATAAGAGCTGTCCTTGAAAAAGAGCAGTTTCTGTCAGAGCTCTCTCAGCCCCACCTACCCCACAGGGTGTCTGTTGTGAGGAGGGGAAGGGAAAGGAGTTTGTAAGCCGCTCTGAGACACCTTTGGGTAGGGAAGGGAGGGGTATATATCCACTCTCTTCTTCTTCTTCTTCTTAAGTGCACGGACTCCAATCTGGGAGAACTGGGTTTGATTCCCCACTCCTCCACTTGCACCTGGCTGGATGACCTTGGGCAAGCCCTAGTTCTGATAAGAGCTGTCCTTGAAAAAGAGCAGTTTCTGTCAGAGCTCTCTCAGCCCCACCTGCCTCCCAGGGTGTCTGTTGTGGGGAGGGGAAGGGAAACGAGTTTGTAAGCCGCTCTGAGACTCCTTTGGGTAGTGAAGGGTGGGGTAGAAATCCAATCTCCTCCTCCTCCTCCTCCTCTGTTACTCTGAACCGTACAGTCACAGTTCTTTTGTCTTGTTCCGCAGTGGACTATCCGAGGGCAGGGAAATTTGCAATCGAAGGGTTACCGTG